TTCAACTCAGGCCACTCTATGATTCTATGATTGGCATGTTTATGGATCCTTCCTATGTGTGAGAAAGGATTCTCCATTTTCATAGTGTTTTGTTTTGGTTTTTTTTTTTCTTTAAATTGATTTCTAGTGTTAGAAAATGTTATACATCTCTGTGGGGGTGGGGGCAGAAGCCTCTAATAAGGTGTTACCTGACTTGATTTTTTTCAGGGGTCATTTTCAGGATGTGATGTACATAAAACTTAATTTTGGAACAGGCTGTTGTAGGTCTAGTTTCATGTAGTTTAACGGAGAAATTTCACTTGTGTGCAGTTTGGCTAGGCATTACATAGGGGTGTTAGATGTATCTGAGCACACACCGAGGTGCTGTGCAGGGAAAGCAGAGGGGAACACTTCCCTCTTCTTACAGGGATGTGGTTAAAGAGCTTGTTGAACCACTGTCTATTTTCCTTGTTCCAGAGAGATGTTCACATGCTATTTAAGTCTGCAACAAAGTGAATTTATTTCCTGTTTTCAAATTACTGGCATAAAAACTTATTTTCTAATATTTTTTCCTAATAAATGAGATTGCTGTGAGCTCCTGCCTTTTCCCGGTTTGACCCCCAAACTGGCAGCATTTAGAGGTCCTTGTATGGTTTGGGCTGTCCAGGGTGTGTAACTGAGCACCCGCTGCCTATTCTACTTGATATCAGACTTTCTTCTCTCCAGAGCTGTTAAGGTGAAAGTGAAGAAGACCTCAACATGAAAATAATTTTGTTGTTTTATGAGGAAGAACTCTGAAGTGGGAATAAACTGGTACAGTATCAAAGAACACGCAGCTGTTGGTTCCAGTTTATTAATAAATAGTGAATGAGGTTTTCAGGGGTGAAAGTAAAATCACATTAATACCATTGAGTGAGTGCTAAATGCAGAGTGTAACACAGAACAGGTTTCTGATTTTTCTGATAATTACCGAAGGTTTTGACTGTTAATACTCCTGCCTCCTGACACCTCTAGGAAAGCTGGCAAGTACAGGCTTGTTTTTTTCACAAACGCAGGAACCTCAAAGCACGTACTCTAAATTTTTGTAAAATGCATATGATGCTCCCTTAAGGAAGATTTCCATTTGCTGATTACTGATTCACTCAGGAATGTTCTGGTCACCATTAGAAATGCAAATTTCCTGAGACTAGTTTTTATTTGAGGAGGAAGAAAAGTTGCTGTCTGAAATGCAAGGTCATTGGGAAGTTCCCGATGTTGTGCAAAGAAATGGAGAAACAGTTCTGAAGAGTCAGTCTCGTACGAAAAAGCGTGGCATTTGGTACTGAAATGTGGCCAGCTTTCCAGTCTTGCCTGCACTGGTGAAGCGTGTCCTCTTCTGTCCTTGGTGGTGATACCGCTGCTGTCGGGATGGCTGAGGTGCAGGCAGAAAGCCTTGTGCTCTGAAAAGGAGCTCCGAGGAGTTCTGAGTACAGTGAATAAGAATGCGCAGAGGTTCCTTGTATGGAATCTAACTTGTCTTCCCGGTTTGACAAATCAGTATGGCAAACATGATTTGAGAGCATTTTTCATCCTGGAAGTGTTCAGCATTCGGATCCCTGGTAATGAGACTTGACTTAAATGGGTCAGGAATTCAAGACTCATTACGTTCCTTGTGCCTGTCCCCACAGCACTGGCTTTCTTGCACTGCTGAGAAAGAAGCAGCTGTCGAGTACCCCAGCCGTACCCCAAGCACCCCTTTTCCTCTCCGGGCAGTGTGTCCTGGGCACGTGCTGCGGAGGGCTCTGGGGGCTCGGCGCAGCTTTTCCCCGGCATGCCTGTGTGTGTGCAGCTGTGTGGCTCAGCCAAAACCTGGCAATGCATGTCCAAATGTCCTGTGTTTGCCTTTCTCATCTAAATTCTGGTTTTTTTTTTTTCTTTCCTTTTCTGTCTGTAGAAATATTATGGTCTGGATACTAAATGGGGAGACATCGAGCAATGGATGGTAGGCTTTGATCAACGTAGCCGCACAACTTTTATGTGTTGAAGTTTTGTATAGTTCGTAGAGTCTGGAATCCCACAAAGTAGGTGTTTTCGTGTATTAGAAGCAGGAGTTCCACTCTGATCACAAAGATTCTTGCAGTCTGCATGGAGCCACCTGAAATGTGGCTTATGAAGAGCTTAAAACTGGCAGGGGTCTGGTTAGAGCCATCTCCTTTTGCAGAGAAGACTAGCTTAGCATATAGACCCACGGAAGCCACTTGCAGTACGAGTACGTACGCATTTAACTTCTTGTGGATTTCCTCAGATCTGTCTTCAGTTACATTTTGAGCAAATTTTATCCATGTTTCTTCAGTTACCTTTCTCCTGACTAGTCCAGGGACACTGTTGGGATGCATTGTTGCTGCTGCTGTGGCAGTCCTCACTTTTTCCGATAATGCAACATCCTGGATTTTACTATTTGCCAAGCCAGTGAGGTTGATACCAGATCCAGACTTTGCCGTTAGCAACATCTAACTGTTTTAACACCTGTAATATAAAGGGAAGAAGTTGCTAAAGGGCTGGAAGACATTGGCTTCAAATGTCTTTCAAATGCAAGTGATTTCATGAGCTTCCCAGCGATGCCGGGTGAAAGCTTGTTCGTGGCCTTGCCCTACAAGCTGAGTAGCGCACGCTGGAAAAGGCAAAACCAAACAGCTGACTTCCAGTGTGGAAGATAACTTTTCAAACACCCTGGCTTCCTTGACTGTTGAGAATTGATCAACATAAATGCTGATTTGCTCTATGCTTTCTTGAAAGCCTGCTACCCATCTCCCAGATAAACCATTAAGTCTCCTCAAACCCTTGCTTGGTGAGCTCAGCTCCACCTTCGTAGCAATTCCCTTGCTTAGAAATAAGTTCACCTGTGAGAACCGTTAATTACAATGTTGAAACTTTTTTCCCCCCCATTTTCTGTCACTGTTCCTAAATTCTATGTAAAATCAGTTTGTTGAAACGTTACGCGTCCTACAGAATTTCCAGCATTAACGCTGCCTCCGGCCTGCAGAAGGCAGCGGTGCTGAGTGTCGTGGAGGCTGTAAGCAGAGCACGGATGCTTTTGGTCTGGAAGAAGGGGCCAGGCTGTGCCCCTCTGGGGTACTCACTAGAGAGAGACCATTGCCCTGCCGCATTATTTCAAATAGAAGATATTTGAGATTTGTTTTGAAGGACTGCAAACTGGAAAGCTTAATTACAAAAGCACTGTAAGTATACTGATCCCCAGATGCAGAGAGATGCACCTGAAACATTTTTTTGAGACGGGAATAAAGGTGCATACAGTTTTCTGCAAAAGTAATAAAAGTGTGTAGCAGAATGAAATGGAAGGGAAGAAAGTTTGGGGTCACAAATGAGGGGAAAAAGGGGCTTTCTGACTGGACAAGGTGTTACCTTCCCTCAGTTGGTTTAACCTTACTGACTCCGAAACATTGCTGAAGTTCGCTGTATCTTTCTGAAAGCGCTGTGTTGGTGTATCTGTCCTTTCAATGCTTCACTCTCTGTTTCTTCTCTGCTGCCTTGGTAGGAAGACAGTGAGCGTTATTCTCATAGAGCCCGAAGAAACGCCTCGGTTAGTATCTGCTTTTGCTTTTTCTTTTTAGCTACACATTTCAAATTCAGAAAACAGACATGTATAAGGCAGTTCCATGTTAAAAGAAAAAAAACCAAGCAAGCTCCCCCCACCCTAGGCAGGTGAAAACCCCAAAGCCACTTCCTGACTTCACTGGCCTCTCCCCGGTCGCTCTGGGGAGCTTTTGCACATGTGCTAGGATAAAGGGGGGCAGAGGGTGGAAGGTGGGGAATTAACCTGGCTGGAGTGTTTAATGTTCATTTACTCAGCCTGGGGGCCAAGAGCATAGAGCAGGGAATGTCCAAGCAAGCTTGTCCTTCATCCTGTGGTAAAATGCTTGGCGGTTTTTCTTGGGCAGGGTATGATTTCATTTACTTTCCTGCTTACAGTTTTAATGTGGTTCTTTTTTAAAGAATTTTGTATGTCTTTTCTTTTCTTCTGTTTCATCAAAGCCATCAGTATTTACCTTTCTGCCTGCCATTTGTGTTCTTTTCATTGTTTTCTTGTCTTTATCCTTTCTTTTGGTAGGCTTCGGATGAAGATGAGCGCATGTCAGTGGGTAGCCGTGGAAGCCTGAGGGTTGGTAAATTGTACAATTTAAGTGTGCATGCGTGTGTACCGGTGTTGCTGTCCCCCTGTACCACCAGACTGGTTACAGTACTCTGATAATACCATCCTTCCAAGGTCTTGGCATGTTCCATGTTCAAGGCATACGGGTAGCTTTTCCAAGTACATGGAGGTCAATAATTCTGTCACCCAGGGGACTTGTCGGATTTGTGTGCGCTGTACAGGAACACCAGCAGAGCTGGCTCTGTGGAAACCCTTCTGGTAAATGCTGTTCACTGTTAGTGTTGTGGGAAGTACTTAGCCAGTATGTGCAGCTATTTCTTGTACGCACCTTGTAAGCTCTCCTCTTTCCTTGCTGACACTGAGAATTTGGGAAGAGGAAGTGCTAGCTTACTCTGTGATCAATGTTTATTAGGTCAGGAAACCAAAAGCAAATTATCAGCGTAAAGAAGTCTTCAGTGCTTTGGAATTGCAGGTGAACACTCTCCTTAGAGATATTTGAAATTCACCCAGAGGCTGGAGTTCTGTGGAGGGAGGGATTAGTGGAGCACAGAGTGCTGCAGTGCACCAGTGCTCATCTGTAGGAAAAGTTCATTTTTTCCTCAAAATATCAATACAGTATTTTTTCCAAATAATACCCACATGTACAAATCTCAACTCCATTCTAGCGTAGATGCAGCTCTTGTAATTGCGAAGGCAGTTGAAGCAGTGTAGTAGTTGTGAATGGCTAATGCTAGTGTCTCAGCATCTCAGGAGATGATCGGAGCTCACGGTTTCTGAGACCTATGGAGAAGCATTCAGCTAACCACGAAACGGAAACAATCCGTAACAGCACCACGGAGTCCTGCAAGTGCACCAGCTGTGACTAGTTTTTGTTACGGAGTCATTGTGCCTAAAACTGTTGTGTTTGGGAAGGATTTGTTGTTCTGTTGAGGTTGCTCCTAATTGATCAGTAGCACTAGTTATGTGGGTTAAGCTGGATGATCAGTTCTATTTTTAGAGAACAAGCAAGACCTCTGTTGTTCATAGCAGGATCTTTACTTGTAGTCATTGGTTTCTGGATTCTGCGGAGATTTCATGCTGTAAAATTATTATTTTTTTCCTCCTTAAAAACTTGCTAATAGTTATTGAGGCTAGAACTAGAACTTTTTTTTTCCTGAGAAAGTATCCCCAAAATAACAGGATTGAGTGGATACCTTATATGCCTCTAAGAGAGTCAGGAAGATGAAAAAGAGAAAAAAATCACTACTGCAGAGCCTGCTCAGTGATCCTAACAGAGTTCACTGTAAGATAGCACAAGATATACTTAAAAATTTTAAGTGTTGCCTTGTTCGCTTTTTAGTGGAATCCTTATTGCTATTTATGAAATGTTTTTAAAATCTTTACTCCTTAAGATTGCCAATTACTGGAGTGCTTTTCAAAGCTAGAAGGCGCCTTAAAGCTCTAAAGATTTGGCGAAGAAAAGCTTATCTTCACAGCTGAACATGAAAATCTATCTTTATTTTACTTAAATTTGGACATGTATATTGAAGTAGTTTTTTTGAGGGGAAAAAATCCCTAGATCAGTTCATATTGCAGGTCTTTCTATTTAGAAGGTGATCACAATACAAATGGGTTGTTTAACCATGGCTATCACCCAAAACACCTTTTGTTCATGGAAATCCACTACTAATTCCTTTTGATATGTTTTTGTAATACATCCCGTGTTTTATTCTTATCTATTTAAACAGCAGAAGCCTTGTGTTCTGCTTCCCCACCATCCCTGGAGAAGCTTTCCTGACCTTTATTTTCCTGGAGCAGCCAGCATGCCTTCAGGCTGCGATAACCACTGTCTCTGGTGAACAAACCGTCTCCATCTGGTTTACTGGATGGCCCATAAATACCTAATGCTTCTGCAAAGATCCGCCCTTTGCTGATCTGGTTGAAACTTTTCACCCTGGTATTTCTAGTGATGTTGCACAGACTCCCCCCATCCTCCTTAAGCAGGATTTGGTGAATATTCTTACACAGGCTGGCACTTGGGCACCCACAGGAGAAGAGTTGCAACAGAGCTTCCTTCCCTGATCCAAGGATTGTAGAAGAAAGTGGATGTTGGCTAGTCTGAACTGACATTTACCCTTACACATCTATCAGTTGTTTTATTCACAGCGAATTGGTAGAACCCACATCGATCATTTTCCTAGTGTGGGTTTGTGGTGGATGCTGTTAGTAGTTTGACTACATCTCTCTCTGGCTGTTTGTGAAGGTTTGGCTCTTGCTGTGTGTGTCTTCAAAACAGCAAAGTAAAAAAAAAAAAAAAAAAAAGACCAACCTAAAAAGGTACTGGAGTTCAGCGTGGCTTCTGAGCTATCTTAGCATGAGCTCTTCTTTTTTTTTTTTTTTTTTTTGGATATTTGAAGGCTCCTTCCATAGTTGCAGGATGCTGTTGTAATTGGTCTGCAAGATTTCCATTTTCTGAACATGTATCTTACATCTTTGGGACTCAGGCTCGTTGCCCTGGGCGGGGCTGATGGTGTTAGGGGTTGCTTTTGGAAGCTGTGCTGCTTTTCTGTACAGGAAGTTTTCAATGAAATGAGTCAATACCAGGAATGTATTTCTCCCTAAAACTTTACCACCCTACTAATCTGTGTGGGTTTTACCCTGGATTTTCTCCCAGTGTATGTCTGAAGTGCAGGCACCAGAGATCTGCTGAGCTAGCTTTTTTTGTGAGGAGCTGGCCTGGCTGCTTCTGGCAGAGCAGCCATCGAGCCAGACTGCAGAACCACCCGAGGTGTTGATTAGACCAGGCCAGCAAAGGGATTTGCGCTCCGCAGCTGTGAAGGGTGGCCTGGCGTGCGGATGCCACGCTGGCTTGAGTGTGTCCCTGCTTCCTGCAGGCAGGCCTGCCGTAGCTGCCACCAACGGGCACCTTTGGCTTTTCTGTGGCTCTTCCTGAGCCCAGCAGAGGCGTCCTGCCTCTCTTGTTTCAGAAATGCTGCAAGCTCAGTTCTTAATCATGCGTTTTTTCCTAGGGAAACTCAATAACATCATCCTGTGTTCACTGAGGGGCAGGAGCCTCTCTTCAGTCTCTCTTCTGCTGCAAGTGTCCTTGTTCTCCCAGTTCCCAACTGGCTGTCTCTAATCTGAGGTCATGCAGCGTGAAATACTGTTGTGATGGAGGCTGTGCGTTTTCCTTGTCTTGTTTGCTTGACAAAGTTCCCGACTTCTGGCTTTGTGCGAGAAGTCCTGCATTATAAAAGTTCTTTAGGTGGGATTTACATCTCCCTGCCTGAGTTTGTTTTGTTTTGGAAGATTCTTTTCATCACCATAACTTACTTCAGTGTTTTCCTTTGTGTTCTGATTTTTCTTGCCTTCACAGTCTCATCTGGAATATGCCAGCGCCTACCCTGTGGTGAGAATAGTGCGCAAATTGCAATGTGTTTTTAAAAACTAATGAAGAGGAAACTAACCTCACTTGTGATAGCTGATCTAAGGGATGGTCTAAAATAATGGTCTTCATGGTCTGTGATATCAAAGTGCTGCTTCCCTTTCCCGCTGCTCTGACGCAGTTCAGATGAAAAGCACCCAACGATTGGAGAGATCTAGTTCAGTAGTTACCACAGGACACAGCCGAACAGCTTTTATTTCACCTAACAGACTTTCTCTGTTGCAGTCCGTCCCTTGTTTGACCGGGCATGTCTGCTTTTATTTCAGCATAGCTCTGGACAGGAGTAAAACTCACATACTCATTCTGAATAGATCTGGCAAAGGCAGAGGGTCACACACGCTGCCTGCCAAGGCTGCAGCTGGTGGATCGAGCTGCTGGCTTTGCTCTGGAGGGTAAAATCAAACTCTGTGGGTAATGACGAGACGAGATGATTGAACAGGTTGAGGTAAAGCTGACTCTTTGAAGAACAGAAAAGGCACAGGAGGGAGAACGAGGGCTGGGACTTCAAGCTGAGTTTGAAAACCTTCCTGGTACCATCGGCGTTGCTGTCTGTGGCAGCGCTGTTCGATGGACATGTCTCGGTTGCTGCAGAGAGCAAGCTGTGGAGAGCAGTTTCATAGACTCTCCAGCTTTTTCACTCTTGTCTGTTCCCCGTGCTATTTCAAATGAGGAACGCAATGTATCTATGTGTAAGTGACCTATATACAGAAATAGTTCAAAGGCATTTGGATTTTGCATGGATGTATTGATGTAGCAAGTATAGACAGCTGGTAGCTCTTTTAATTGGCTTAACCCAGCAAGCGTGAATGATTTTAACTGTGGCTACTAAATTTAACAGCACTATCATCACTTCTAACAATATTCCTTAATAACTGGTCATTTGACTTTGAGATTTGATTTTTTTTTTTTTATGTATGCTTACTGAGCCGTGTTGCGTAGAGCTGGAGGAAAATGGAACTGATGGTTTTGCATGTTGATATGCATGCCTGGCTACGGATGGGTGCGCGGAAACTCACTGATCTTTTCATCCTGCGTTCTTAATCTCACTGCAGGCTGGATTAGAGAATGAGAGGACCAAAAAGAAGAACTACTCCAAAGCAGTATGTATCTTGACAAACTGTCGCAGAGAGGTTTTTTGCCTACAAAACCACTGTGATAAAGAATATGTGCGAGCATGTTGGCTCTAGGAGCTCACCAGCCTAATATCAAGGATACGGTATAACTACCAGGACTTGTTGGGTCTGCGAGGATACTGAGCATCACTTCATCTGCAAAATGTGGTGTAAGCCAAACACTTAGGTCAATGGTGTACATAAGGAGCATCTTGAAAAACTCAGAACCTAGCTTGAGCTTTAACATTACACAGAAATAGGTAATACTGAGAGAATATATACATAGTAAAGGCTGTAGCTTTTCATAACGGTCACTCTGCGTAGTATCGATGCCTTACTAGCACCTGTACAAATAGGACACCTCAAAGCTAGACCTGGGTGGAAGGTAGAGGATAATGAGCTTTCACAGTCAGGATTTTCAGGGAATCTCGCTGGGAGCAATTCCAGAGAGGGAAGGAGTACACAAGAGAGGGCCAAGTGGTGTACTGCTACTGCAGAGGGAAGGCTGCGCATCGCAGCAGGAGGTTGCCAGGCTGGGCTGGGATTCTTCAGTCCACTGGAAGTCAGCAGAGAATTCTCCGAGAAGTGGAAGTTGGATGTGGGATTGAGAAAGCCTGAAGGAGCAGCGTTAGCTGCAGTCTAAGGAAAAAAGGTGTTTTACAAGTATAATTGAACGTAATGGCAATGAGAAAGTTTTCTGCGTGCGTTTAAAAGCAAGAGGAAAATACAGAAAAGCATAGGGTCAGTTGCATAGTTATGGAGAATGTGTAAAATCTGAATATTTCAGCCTCCCCTTTAATTTGTTCCAGTTTTCATGAAGGTTATGATTGGATGCTTAGCAGGTTAATGTAGCACAGAACAAAGATCAGCAAGGGCTGATAAAAATGATCCTGCTGTTTGAGAGTTGTCGGGAGCATTTGCCTTCAAAAATATGTGCTGGAGAAGTCTCTGGAGAGGATCGATCTTAGTGACAAGGGAAACGACCTGAGCTAGGGGGTTTCAGTGTGAAATCTGAAAGATACAGTGCAAATTAAACAGACGTTTTTAGAAGTGTCTGAAGTGTAAAGTGAAAAACAGTTAATCTGGATTTGTGGAAAATGAATCGTGTCAATTCAACTTAATTTCCCTAAGCAGAGTCACTATTTAAGGACAGAGAGGAAAAGCATTAGGTGTGACTAGACTTTGACTACAAGGCTCTTAGCATGTTTCTGCATGACATTAAGTGAAACCTCGGACAAGACCTAGTTCTTGTAAAATAAATGCACAGTTAGTTCAAAAAAGAACTGTGTTAGAAAATGAGGCAGCTGGAAGGGATCTCATCTGGTCTGTTCCCATCTTAAGACAGCATCATGTGTTTTCAAAGGGGAAACCAGTTCTACAGGAATCTCCATTGCCTAGTTGTCCAAGTACAGGGAGCGAAGGTTTCATGCACGGTTAGGCTAAAAATGCTGCTGGTGAATAGGAGACAACTTGTCAAAACTGAATAATAGTGAAAATAAATGAGAAGTACCACATTTGGGAAAAAGTGAACTATGTTATTACAAAGTGAGGAATTCTGCACAGGGAAGGGTTCAGGTGATGATCTGAGGTTACATTTAGTCAATATTACGTTGCTGAAAAAAGGCAAACTTAATTCCTTTGTGTTGTAAGGAGAGGGGTGGCGGAGGTAAAGGATCCGCACAGCGCTGCTGAGGCTGTAGCTAGAGCATTGTCTTCAGTTGCCGAAGAATCCTTTTACCCATTCTTCAGGGAAGTGTTTAGAGCAATTTAAGGAGCCTGAAGAAAAAAAGAGTAAAAACTGGGGAGAAGCCAAGCTGTATGAGAAGGCCGTTAGCAGTATTTCAAGTAAGTTCTTCTTGAAAAAAGAAGCTGGATGTTTGCCCTCCATTTGTGGTGATAATATTGCATTTCAGCAGAGAATCTGGGCTTTTCCCAGAAGCTGCTTTACCAGCTTGGATCTAAACTGGTTTCTAAGTTAATTTGTTTAATTTTTCATGGACGCCCCTCTCCAGTATGTGGTAAGTATTTTGCTTGGAGATTGATTCAGAGTGGGTTTAGTGGATTTTCATTTTGAGAATGCATTAAAACCTGGACTTCAAAACTTAATTTGAATAGAAATTATAATTAAATTTCCACTAAAACAACCCACCCCAAATATGCAGAGTGCTTGCTCGTTTTGATGTTAAAACTGGCCTCATTTCAAAGTGGTGCCAGAATAGTGAACTGCTTGAGAAATCTGAGCTTTGAGTGCTATCGATAGAGGTGACTTTGGAGTCTCCTCTTTTCCTCAAACATTGTGTTTCCAGACTAAAACCAGTCTGCATTTCTTTCATTCCTGACCCTGCTGTCCTAGGGGCTCGAAGCATCTCTCCCTGCTTGTGAAACGCCCATTCTGAGCCCATTTGTTTTCTCTCCTTTGAGAGAAAAACCTCTTAATGACGACATGACGGGCTGTTGAGCGTGACGGAGGACAGCTGAACCGACTGAAATCTCTTCTTAGTCTTCGGACTGCCACACAGAATACAGGGATGTGGCAGATGGTCACTGTCTGGGTTTAATTTTGATGTAACTGTGGAAAGCTAAAAAGAAGAGTTTTCATACAGCTTCGCTTGTTTACCGAACTGAATTTCTCAAATAGAAACTGAGAATTCATTCTTTTGCTACGATTTTCTGCTTTTTAATTGCTTAGCTGCCAGAGGTATAAGTCACTACAGCAGTAAAAGTCTTTTATCGTAGCCTCTCATCCCCAGCATCCCCTTTGTGTCCTGTGTTCCCTTCACAGAGCGTTTAAAGAGGCAGGTGCTGTAGTGCAGCGATAATAAGGGAAGCAAAAGTGTTTCTTAAAACGGGTCAAAAAAAGCAAGCAGGAGTATCCTTGACATTTTTGGCTGGTATATAGGTACTGACAGACAGGAGTATCCTTGACATTTTTGGCTGGTATATAGGTACTGACAGACACACAAATGTTTGTGTCCTCTCGTTTGACACAATTCCCTACTACTGCCCTTCTCCTGTTCCTGGTGTAGCTTTCAAAAGTTCTGTCTCTGCCTTTGCTTTCTGTAAGTGATGACTGTTGCTAAAAATTCCTTTCTGGGTCTGCGTCAATTTTTTTCTCTCCCCCCCCCCCCCCCCCCCTTTTTTTTTTTTTCCTTCTTTTTCCTTTCCTTGCACAGCAGACCAATGGTTATGAGGAAGACGTGTATGGATCATCCCAGAGCAGAAAATCTAGCAGGGTTAGTAGATGATTTATATTGCTATAAAATCTATTGCTCTATTTAATGGGATTAAAGCTAATGAGCAAATTATTTTCTGTGGTAAAGCAGGTTTTTCCTGTCTTGCATGTTGTGGCTTTTGCAGTTTGTGAGGTGGGGAGGTGAAGCAATAATCTGTTTAAAAAAAAAAAAAGAAAATTAGGCCATGAGTGGGAAACGAAGTCTCCCAAGCTTCACCTAGAGTTTAGTCCATGTCTTGAGATTCGCGTATGTAAAATGGACTTTGGATTTGGAATTTTCCCCAAATGTGTGTTGTTTATTTGAAGTTTGCTTAACTGAATGCTTTTTTTTTTTTTTTTCTTTTCCTTTATAAACTGTGTCCCAGGGTTTCTGGAGACTCCCATGGAGGCGAACAGCCAGTGCAAGTGTTAACACTTAGCTGCTTTCCGCTGATGTACTTTTATTTCTAGAAATATTCTTGTCAAAAAAGCTTAATTATTAACTCTGTTGTGTGTATGTGGGTCACAATGTTCCCTTCTGTTCCTGCTCAAGTGTTTTGTGTCAATTATCGGGATTCATTGTCCTGCTCTGTTAAATACTGGGTTTGTGCAGATTATTTAAAGGTATTGTCTCACGCAGAGCCTCTGCGGGGTAGGGAGAGGAGCTGTTTGGAGATTTTTTTCTTGCCTTTATGGGACCTTATATTTCATGTCCATTTAATTTTTTTTTATTCCCAGTTGTTTTATGCATTTAGCTTGTGCATGTGGATAAGAGAAAATTAAATACTGTTGCTTAAACTGTTAAGAAAACAGTATGTCCTGTTGTTGGCAGTCTTGCTGCACCGCTTGAGAAGTTCAAGGAACTTTATTATGTAGTGCTTCTGACAAATGGTGTTCTTACTCTTTAATGACATACTCCAGAGATTCAGATACTGCAGGAAGATCTGCAAAATATCTGGAAGAAAATAATCCACGGAAAAGAAGTTGTTTGGTTTCCATTTAAATAATTTAAAATCATTTTGGTATTAGGGTTTGTAGCGTGGAGGTTTAGTGTATGTGGAGCATGGCTGCAGCATGTTCCTTGCTATTTTCATTACGAAGTGTAAGTCAGATTCTTCATTATTTAGGAAGATGAGAGGTTGGGGGTAATGTAGAATAGCTGAGACTCCAAAACCAGTTGATGCCAGTCTGGCTGTCATTCACCTTTAGGAATATTCCCTCCAAAAACACCAAACCTAACCGTAAAGATGTCAAAGCAACAGTGAAAAACTGAGAAGAGGCAGAGTTCTTCAGGTCAGCAAGGAAGTGATGAGTCTGCTGATAATAGTTGGTTCCAGAATAACTGTCCAATTTTAAGTCACAAGATCTGTTTGCTTGCAGTGGCAGAAGTCTGGTGTCGAGAACAAACAAGGTTCTTTTTGCCACAGATCCCTGGTTTGTAAATGGAGTTAACACCTGGCTAGTTTATAGTGATGGTGCAAGGATTAGTTAGGGCTTGTAAGACAGCTGAGTAGTTGCTGACCACTGAAAGCAGTCTCTCCTGGTTGTCTAGACCTTGGTGGGAAATAGCTGGAGAAGTATGATGCTGGAGACCGGCTGTAAGAGGAGAGCTAGCAGAGAAGGTAGAGGAGTGGAGCCCTTCCAGAATGACCGCTCCCCCAGGACTAGTTAGAGCAGACTGAGCAAGCACAGGAGTCATTTCTCGAGGGTGAGGATGTGGGGAGGCAGTGTTTCCTCCCTGCCTGCTGTAGCAGCCTGTGCTGGCTTCTAAGCACGACTTCCTGATGTGGCTTTACACCCTGCCTGATGGGCCCACTGCTGCATCTGTTCCTGGCACCACAGAGTAACTATTTTATCGCATTTTAGATAGGTTTTTTTTTGGCTGCTGTTTTTCTGAAAATAAGGCAAATACAAAGTGTTCCTAGTGTGCCTGTATTTTTCTTGATTCCTTTGGCTCTGTGAGGTGCATAACGTCTTATAAATGGATTTCCAATATGCATTGAAAACAGACCTTGATTTGCAAATTTATATATCCCTCCGTGTTCAAACCAGCTGTTTATAACAGCTGAAGTTGTTCATAATATACTGATGCATGCTCCTAAAGCTTTTAGGAAGCCGAAATACTGAGTTCCACAAATACCCTACTGCTGTCAGCCTTCCTGTGCCCCGGCAAGCCCGACCTGCTGGCTTTGCTGAAGCGTTTGTGCAGCGGAAATTCTCACAGATGCTGCACAACAGCAGAAAGGCTCAGCTGGCATCCTGCACTCCAGTACAGGTGCTGGGGAGAATGAATGGGGATGATGTATATCACACTAGATGCATAAGGTAGTATTTCTGAGGGCAGGGGTGAGTTCAAGTCCACTGTCAGTCAGTCGATATTGGTATTTTTTCTATTGAACTTGGAATTGAATTAAGATCTCCCCATTCTTGGGGAGTCCAAACAGATGGACAAAAATTGCAAGAAGGTTGGTAGGAAGCTGCATAAAATAAGGTGCTTAATTTAGACAGTCTCACTTCTTACAGAAAAAATTTCTTTGCATTCTGTCTTGCCATATCTGACAGTGGGCTGCTCGCCTTTCGTGATGAGCGCAACCAGCAGTTTTGGTCCCTGGCTTTGGTCTCTGTCTCCCAGCAGAGTTGTCCTGAGACTTTCTCCTCCATCTCCTCTGGGTTTAGCTTAGGAAGCTGACTTGCTCTCTGACCGGTACGTTTTTCCAGTGCTTGACGGGCAGTGGCAATCCACTCTGTATGCAAAGAAATAAATCCTCTAAGGCAGAAGCCTGGGTTTTTAGGTATCAAGCTGTGATGCAGCCATTTAATCCGAGTTCAAGCCTGGAAGCTAACATTTTCAGCATCTTGTAAAACAGATGTTGTCTGTTCTGGTGTACAGAAGATGGACGTATGTTGATAAATACAGCTTTACTGAACTGGAGTTAAGATGAAACTTAGAATCATAGAATCACAGAATGGTTTGGGTTGGAAGGGACCTTAAAGATCGTCTCCTTCTCACCTAACGTACTTTTTGCTTCCCACTTTAAGGAATTTTGAAGGTTCTCCATACTATGAAGCTGAGTTCTCAAGGTTTTTTTCTCTTTGTTATTAATGCAGGCTTCGTACTACTCTGATCTGGGTCTTCACAACAGCGGCTGTGCTTCCACATCTCAACCTTCTTCCCAAAATGGAAACTGGGTCTGTTGCCCTCTGGCTTTACCTGGTCTGGACTTGTTCTGACTTCATTTGGATAATGCAACCTCTTGTGCTTAGGAATGAGTTTGAACCAATTGTCAAAAGAGTTTCTGTAGCTCTTTTTAGTAAAACTTAAAAAAACCAAACCTTCTAAGACTGGAGTGAGTAATGGAAAGCTGTTTTAAAATGAGCATAATTAGTTTTCCTTTGCTGCTCCTCCCTTTCCTACAGTTATTTTGTTTGCTTTTGGCCTCAGTTGGTCTGGAAAAATAAGGGAAATCTTAATTAGCTGAAGTTCTCTATTTGAGCCAACTTCTCTGCTCACCGTGTCAGTCTAGCAAGTTTAAGACAATCTGGTCTGCATAGAATGAAATTACAAGCAAGTAATTCACAGACTGCTAGAAGAAAATTGCTGAAGCTTCAAAATCAGCCGGGAGGTTGGATTGTCCCCTGCGTGTGGACAGAGCCCAGCCAGTCCAGCGCCAGCGAAGCGATGCTTGGGCAGTGGTCCGCAGCCCGTCCTGCCCATGGGCAGCAGCATGAGCACGTGGTGGCCCGTGACGGGGGCACTGCGGATGAGCGGGGTGGCTTGCAGCAGCACGTCTGAACGCTGCGGGCTGGGGACCACTGCTGGAGTATCTCTTTCGCCTGATTCTGCCAGAGACAGTATGTGCTCTCTGAACTTAACAGCTGCATCTTGTGAGGTGGTTACTAACAGAGAAGCCGTTTGTTTTATAGTGGTCTGATCTAAGTACTCATCATTTTGTCCTGAATTATTTGGGTTTTCTCTGCATTTTTGTTCAAACAAGAGATGATCTTAGAGCTGTGTGACACACTTAAAATGTATCTTTTAAAACACTTCTGTCTTTCTGTGGTGCTTTTTTTCTGGCTTTGGTTAAAGTGAGGAGAAGCACCCTTTCTGGCTGCTATACACAAATGTGTGTGAGACAATAACAGTTTAACAACCTAAAATTAAATGATGCTGTTTTGCTTTTGCATACTGTCGTGTCCTCCCTTCCTGTAGGAAATGCACGTGTCTGCTTGGTATTCTTAGTCTTTGGGAGTCGAGATCTAATGCTTTCATGGTGCAGATGACTAATACTCTCTATACTGGGTTTCCTTCTGTTGTAGTTTAATAATCCTAATCTCTTACCAAGATGGTTAGTTCTGCTGTAGGTGTTTTTATGTTTCATTTTCTATGCAAAAAAGTTTTGTGCTTGTCTTCCTCAGCCCTCCTTGCTGTACAGCGATGCCCTGCCAGCCAGAAGTTACAGGGTTTGTTGTACTAACGCTTTAAACACAAACACCGAAGCCACTCACCTTCAGCCATGCGTCTGTTGTCTCTTACCTCTGTAGTTCCTGTTGGGTCCATTTATTTCACACTCTGGTGTCTGATCCATCGGAATGCACGTGTGCAATGCAGTTTGTACAGACCTGGATTGTGCTGATCGTTTCTTTTATTCCTGTTGTAACTGTGGGGTTGTGATGCTGCCGTGCGCTCCTCTCTGGATGGAGACGTTGTCTTGGTTTTGATGGATAAGCTACAACATGTGCAGGAGCGGGCCAGAGAGAGGCAACATCAATTCTTTCTGGTTGTGTAACAGCTAACAAGATTCTGCTTAAAAAATTTTCTGTAGACAATTTCCACTCTTGTTTAACCTTTAAAATAAGCTGCTCTCAGATTTTATTCTAATGCTTAAAGGTAGTTTCTTGAGCCAGACATTTATACACTAAACTGGAGCCAAAGTCTTAGAATATGCATCCTCCTCCTTTTTTATTAATTTGGCAAACTGCCTAATAAGTGAAATTCATCAGGCTTAAGTGTGGGAGGACTTTTCCCACATATTTTTCCAGATTTGAACAGATTTGAACAACTTAGGAATTGATGTAGCTGTTTTGTTGGAAGGCAGCATAAACTTTGGAATTGATGATTGGGAGAATGTTTCGAAATGCATGACTGTGTGATGGACTCAGGGGTGAGCGTCAGGTTTTGCACGTGCCTTATGGCATTTCCCAGCTCACGGACTTCAGGTTGTGTTGGATCTTCACTTGCATGTTGCTTGTGGTTGCCAGCGTACAGAGATGTCTCTGTTCTTGCACATACTGCTCGTTCCCCTGCGTCCTTCGCGCTGCACCGTGTGAGTTTGTAATGCTCCAGACTGAAATCAGAAACGAGGTCTGCCAGTCCTGTTCTGACTCTGTCTTTTAATTGTAGGCGTCTGTGTATGACGAGAGTGTTTACAGCGGGAGTCGTCGCTATAGTGCCTGTAGTTCTCGTGCTGTAAGATGTTTTCTGTATTTTCCTGTTCTCGTGTCTCTGTCCTCCAGTAACCCCTGTGCACGAACACACAGCCTTTTCTGGGCTGAGGGACATTTGAGATGGGCTG